TCTTCTCATTACAAATGACATGTTAATTTGTAGTGAGTTTATGCTCCACGTCTGGGAGTTTAATCATATTACTTCATCCTGCTGCCACAGTTGATCAAATAGCAAGGCTGAACTGGAAGATAAAATTGTTATTTTTAAGTCTATAGAATGTATTTGAAAAAAGAAAAAGAATTATCAGGCCAATCCAAAGAAATATTCCACAAGGATTATCAGTAGCACCTTGGTATAGAATCATAGAATAGTTTGGGTTGGAAGGGACCTCTAAAGGTCATCTAGTCCAACCCCCCTGCCGTGGGCAGGGACATCTTCAACTAGATCAGGTTGCTCAGAGCCCCGTCCAGCCTGACCTTGAATGTTTCCAGGGATGGGGCATCCACCACCTCTCTGGGCAACCTGTTCCAGTGCTTCACCACCCTCATCATAAAAAAAAAATTATATTGTCATCCAAATATGCATGTTTCTTGGTACCTGTGGTGCAGCACAATGAAACGCTGCAGTAATAAAAGGGGGACTGAAGAAGGACGAGAGGCTTGCAAAGGCCAACACCTGCAGTGGCAGAGAGGGAGGAGAGCTCCCATCAGAGCAGTGGGGAGAACCTTTTAGTGTCAAGCTGTGCCCGCAGGGAAAATCATGCACTTGAAGGCAAGGCACAAAGGCAGCCATGGAAGATAGTGAAACGCGTTGTTGGCAGGACAGGTAATTCAGCCCATGTAAAGGGCCACCGACTGCACCTGAGGTCAGTTAAAGGTTGTCATCGCTGAAAGACGACACCAAAGAGAGAAGAAAGACGACTGATGGGAGCACTGACAAAAACACCTTCTTCATGTGGCAGTAAAACAGTACAAGAAAGGAGCCTGATCTCGTGACTTCTGTAATACCCTGGCTCTGTAACAGCCTACAACCACACATTCCTGCCACCAGCTACCGTCCTTCGGCAGAGCCTGCCACCTGAACCAAAGACAGCGGCGGGCAACCTCTGCAGCAAGACAGCTGCTTTTCCCCAGGCACTGCTCTGCAGGGTTGCACAGCCTTCTCTGGACCATGAGCCTGAACGCAAGAAGATTTTTAGGGCTCCAGGGCTTTTTCCAGCCCTTGATCTCTTGTCGTAGATGACTGCTAAAGAACTCCTGACATCCAACTGCAGTTATGGTCTGAAAGACTGCCCTTCCAAATAAGAGCTTGCAGATTATATTGAATTAATTTAACCTGTGGGCTCGCGTAAATTGGTAACACGTAATCTCTTTTAAAAATCCATAATCCTTTTCCTAACAGTGGTCCAACACCAAGTACTTCTAAGGAAAATAGAAGCCTTCCTAATCCTTGCTAGTTAAAAATTGTCATAAATCATAAAATGTGAGACTTAATATATCTTTCTAAATGTATTCTAACATATTTCAGATGTCACACAGGTATAAGTATTAAATAGCATTTCTTCAAATATTATTTCTTTCCTATGTTTTTGATCTCTTTTCAGGCTTGACTAGTGTTCAACCTTTATGACATGCTACAATACTAGTAGTAATGTTATAGCACAAGGGTCTAAAGAAATAAGTGGGGCAAGGCTTGTAGGGAGAGGAAATAGCTTTCATTAGGCCAACTGATACTAATTACATAGTGAATGAAAAATGCATTTCTTTTTGTCTCACTTTTGATTTTGCCAGTTGTTTTCCCTCTGTGCCCCTGGGCTCTTGGGCAGTTAAATAAGGAGAAGCATCCCCTGCTTCCTCTACAACCTTCTGTATTTTAGGTCATTTTTACAGTGCCCTTGCTTATATGTCTCTTTTCTAGAGTGAACAATCCCAGCTTTTATGGATTTCCTGTGCCCTGAGCCCTTTCTCTTTCTGGGAAGGACTGGTCTTTTTGCACAGTATCCTAAGTGAAAAATCAGTGATGGTCTGTGAATTGGTAATACCATAGTTGATTGTATGGCTCTTCACTGCAGTCTCTCTGTATTCCAACAGCCTGGTCGCTTTTTGTCTGACACCTTGTGTTTCTGGAACTGCCCATATGGATCCCTCAGTCACTTCCATGAGTTAATTGAGAGCAGTTCTGTAAGAGAAATAAATACTTTAAATATTACCCTTCTAAACATGAATTATTTTGTCAGCGTGAAATATAAGTAAGTTCTTCTAAAGGATTAATTCAGATATATTTTTGTAATCTGTGCATTTTTTTCTCCCTGTTTTCTTCACTTCCAGATCATCAACAGATACATTAAACATTGGACCAAAACCAGAACCTTGCTATACCCTGCTGTTTACCTTCTGTATCGATGAGCATTTACAAGGAATAAGAAAACAAAAATAAACCACAGGGCAGGAGAACAACTAGATTACTTTCACTGTTTTTCAAGCACAATGAATTGCACCACATTCCAGCGCCAAACAGAGGCAAACTACTTACATTGTTCCTTCTTAATATAATAATTCCCATTTTTCTTACATGTATTTTTCCAAATCAAAATAATTCAGTGTTGACATCTAAATTTTCACTTTTTATCGAAGAAGAGCAGAACAGTTTGTTCTGGGGAAGGGAAGGGAAGGGAAGGGAAGGGAAGGGAAGGGAAGTGAAGGGAAGAGTTCTGTAAGAGAAATAAATACTTTAAATATTACCCTTCTAAACATGAATTATTTTGTCAGCGTGAAATATAAGTAAGTTCTTCTAAAGGATTAATTCAGATATATTTTTGTAATCTGTGCATTTTTTTCTCCCTGTTTTCTTCACTTCCAGATCATCAACAGATACATTAAACATTGGACCAAAACCAGAACCTTGCTATACCCTGCTGTTTACCTTCTGTATCGATGAGCATTTACAAGGAATAAGAAAACAAAAATAAACCACAGGGCAGGAGAACAACTAGATTACTTTCACTGTTTTTCAAGCACAATGAATTGCACCACATTCCAGCGCCAAACAGAGGCAAACTACTTACATTGTTCCTTCTTAATATAATAATTCCCATTTTTCTTACATGTATTTTTCCAAATCAAAATAATTCAGTGTTGACATCTAAATTTTCACTTTTTATCGAAGAAGAGCAGAACAGTTTGTTCTGGGGAAGGGAAGGGAAGGGAAGGGAAGGGAAGGGAAGGGAAGGGAAGGGAAGGGAAGGGAAGGGAGGGAGAGGAAAAAGAAAGAAAAAATATTTCAGACCTTATAATTTATAAAGCTGCTACACTTTAGTAATAATTAAAGCTACACAAATAACAATCAGAAATTTAATATGCCACATCATCCTGTAATTATCGCTCAAAGTTTTTGCTACTATTTCAGCCTTTGCCTGCAAGTAGCTAAATATGTATGATTCTCTGTAACTTCATTTTTTGTGCGTATTATTATGAAATCATCTGTGTCTTTCATTAATCTTTAAGGTAATGTTTAATTATTGTTTTATCTCTATCAATATAACATAAAAGAAGAAATATTCCATTTTCTCTAATAAGAACAAAATTAAAAATCAATTTCTAAGCCATCTCATTTTGAAAAGTAATTTTAAAAGCAATGAGAGTATCAACTTGAATTATATAACGAATCATTTCATGTTTTAGAGCACACAATAGTCAAGGGTCATTTGTTTAGTAAATTCAACTCGGTTTTCCAATGCAGCTCATATTTTATTTGTCCTGACTTTACTATCTCCATCTTCATTGTAGCACAATATGAAAATATATGAAGACCTGATGTTTCTTACAGCCGTTTGTATTTCTGAGCAGTGGTGTTCCCTTCTCCTCTGGTCTAACATCTCATTTGAACCTGTGATGGGTTAGCTGCCCTCCAAGAACCAGCCTCAGTTCAAATTCCTGAGCGCACTGGTGCTGACTTCCAGGCACCCCTCTGTGGGGTCTTTTTCCATGGGGGATGCTCTGCCATAGCCTTCTTTCTCCCCCACCGCCACAGCCTGAGCCACGAGGTGGGGCAGTGGGGCTCTGACTATGCTGCCAGAGCACTGTACAGCCAAATGTCTCAAGTGCTCTGCAAATATCTGCAAACTTTCGCTTTAGAAGTGATAATATAACATGAGAAATTAAGATCACGGGTATTTTATAAATGGGTAAACTAAGGACATGAAGGCTAAGTCACTTTCCAAGGGCCATGAATATGCAGAGCCAGAAATAACAATAAAATAAATTATGCTTAATAAAGTCTATGAAATAGAATTGCATCAAGTAGATTTTACTTCTCCCACTACTCAGTAGTCTTTAACAAATCCTTAACTGGCATAAATTACAGTGACCTTCCTGAAACCATTGAAGCTTTCCCAGTTTCCAGAAGGAGGAAACTGGCCTGTTCATTTTCTGATTCGCCTTTTCTCTCCTTGCCAAAGGAAACAAACCCCAAAAGTTTTTCATGCGTGGGATCCCTGAGGATATGGTATTAAGCTTGGCTGGTACTGAAATTTGGAGTAGGGCAACTGCCTGCTTTACAAGATTTCGGGCAAAAACTGTTGGTTTTAACAAACATACCTTGGTGGGTTTTTTTACTTCAGTCTACTGTTGAGATAGGAAAATGCAGGTAGCCCAACCTCCCTTTCTACACTTCCCTCATGCAATTGGTAAGGTCTCAGAGATGCCAACAATACATGGAATGGCTGAGCACCATTTCATCTGAAATGATGTAGCCGTCCCCTCTTGTTGCTCACCTTTATCATGTGCAGCGTGTGAAATATCTAATGGGTAAGCAGCAACTTGAAGAGCCCTTAGCAGCCGCTGAGCTGTACAATCGAGCCAGAGTCAGATCAGATGTACAAAGAGCCTGCGAGCAGAGTTACATGACAATAAACTTGGTATGAGAGAAGACCGAGCAAAACAAAACAGATGGTAAAGGCATGATTTGCTTGCTGTTAGTGATGCCTCTGTAACATCACAGGCTATCTCTAAGCTATATTTTCCACTGCATTGCCGGCTTGCAAAACTTTTAATGGAACAAGTTTTTCTGGCAGAAGAACACTGATTTTTATCTTTAATGAGCAGCCTCTCTATCATTTCGCTTCAGGAAACAGCTTCCTGGTTGTAAACTGCTTGAGAGTGCTGACAGCCAGTCAACTTCAAAAGCAGCCAGGAGAAACTTTCTTGCTAACTTTGGGAAGGAATTAAAAAATGCTGAAAGGTGCAGATGATGTTGTTATGGAGCAGGAGGACTCTGCTTCCCAACATGGAGAAATGACAAATTGGGATATCAATGACATCAAACTTCCCCAGGTATGTGTCTGTGTCTTAGAAATTTATCCAGTTCTGACCAGTCTTCTCCACTTCGCTGATCTTAAATGCTGTCTCAGTCGTCTATGCCTCATTGACTTTATTCTCTTTGCCACCTTGAGGTATGGGACAGTGTTTTGCTGAAAAGCTAGAAAATATCGAGCAAAATATTGAAGTTTCCGTGCATTTTTCTTAAACATATTATTGAAACATATTATATATGTTTCCTTAAACATATATTGAATGCTGATAGACGAAAAATAGTGATACTGCAGATGCGTTGCCTTTCTAGTCCACTGGTGGATAAGGTGCAGAGAAAGCAGGGGAAAAAATTATCTCCTGCTGTGGCTGCTCAATTAGAGATGTCCAGGACTTGCTTTTTGCCCTGGATAGTGCTTTATGAGAAGTGAGCACAGCACCCGCGACTGCCTTGCAACTCTGGGTGCTCAGCCTCGCTGCAGATCGGGCTCCACGCAAGCGGGCTGGCTTTCTGCACAGAGGCAACACTCCTTTCACGAGCACCTCGGAAAAGCTTGCTTCATGTGGGCAGAGATTTGCTGAGAGGCAGAATGGTGGGTGATCTTTCCCTTCCTCAGTCCTTTTCTAGTCCTCTTATCTAAAAATCTCATCCATGCTCTCCACTGAAAGCCCACAGCACCCTACGCCCCGATGTCATCTCCCTGTCCCTCACCTTAGCATATTTGTGACAGATTTCTCCTGCTGGGGTTCTTCACCGTCCAGCTCTTTCATCTCCCAACCCTGTCTTCTTACCTGATCCCAGGCTCTTCCCTACTATGTCACTGCTGTTTGCCCAAAGCCTCCATGTCCTAGGCTGCCTCCTCCCCTGCCTTCCACCCCAAGGTCACCTTCACCTGCATTTCAGCCTGGAGGCTTCCTCCACACCCTTCCCTATCCTATCCGATGGCTCCTGGGGGAGCACAGGAGTTTTTCTCTTCTCAGTTGATGTTCTTGCTGCTGTAATGGCCCTCGGTAGTTGGGATCAGCAATTTCAAGGAAATTCCTACTGAGTTTTTGTACCCCTACAATGACCTTTTCCCTCAGTGGGTATGTTAGGTGCTTTACAGCTTACTGCATTTTACTGTGTTAACTGTACCCACTGAGGTGATGTGTGGTTGGTCCTTTGCCTTTTCTTTGATTGAGTTTTATTTTTATCGTTCCTTACAGTGTTGTCTTTGGGACTTTTTTTCCTTAGTCCATAGCAGCAAAAAAAAACCCCACCTGACCAAGATGTTATTTGTTTTGGACTTCAGAAAAATCACCATGGAAGTCTTTCATGGCACTTAGGCCAAAATGAACCGAAGTCCAGAACTAAAAACCTACAAATGTGGGCATAGTCTCAGTCTCATTCAGTATTTGCCCTTTTTCCAGCAAGCTGAGCCAGATCAAGCCAAATGATTCAGTGTAACGCTGCTGTGAATAGTCTGAAAGGCAAAGCAGGATCTCTGCCATGAAAGCTAACAGAAGTTAGTCAGGCGGTGACTGCTGCCTGCAAGGAAAGTATCTGCTATTTTACGTCAGGCACCCACCTTTGTCTCCCGGGGAGGTCCCGCACTGAGCTGGACCCATGGGTGAGTGAGAACAACCTCCTTGCCAGGCTTTCCTGATGCTTTGGGGCTCGCGGGGAGCCACAGGGAGCTGTGTTTTTTCTGCCTTTTCTCCACTGCTCCCTCCTGCCAACCAGCATCACCTGCTGGGGTGCTGGAGTCACCCAGGCTGGAGGACACCCAGCAGAGGACCAGGTCTGCTGGGCTCTTGCACAAGCTCTTCTCTTCCCCAGCCTAAAATGTGGCTTGCTTTGGTGTCTCCACAGGACGTAAGACAGATAGACTGGTTTCAAGAGTGGCCAGATTCCTACGTAAAACGTATCTATAGCTCAGAGGATAAAAATGCTCAGAGGCACCACAGCAGCTGGGCAATGAGAAACACCAACAACCACAACTCTCGCATCTTAAAAAAGTCCTGCCTTGGGGTGGTGGTCTGCGGCAACGACTGCTCAACCTTGGATGGGAGGAAGATCTACCTAAGACCAGCCATATGTGATAAAGCTAGGCAAAAACAACAGCGTGAGTATGAACGTGGCTGTTCCTTACATCACAGTTCATAAGTGAACACAACATAAAAGAAATCCAAGTAGAGGATACCCTTTGGATTATCCAACCTTCCCGCTGCATTCCTTATATTCAAAGGCAACTCTTGATTTTGGAACAATGCATTTTACATTTCTTACTGTTGGGGAGAGGAGTTGTTTGCTTGTTTGTTTTCTTTTTTTTAATTTCATTTTTAATCTCTATTTCTGATGGTTAGAGCTTGATTCCCAGCCTTCTCAGGCCCATGAGTGAGGCTACTGAGAAAGCTGTACAGTGCAGGCAGCTTCCTGCTGTGCTGTTCCTGCTGACCCGAGTGTTGGCTTCATTATTGTATGGGCCCAAGAGTAACTCAGGAGGCAAGTCTTGCAGGGAAGAAGTTGCTCATAAACTATGATGCCTGGAAAATAGGCCTCATAGTCATGTCACCAGAGCAAGACAATGCAAATAGAGAATGTGAGCTGCACGCACATTTTTAACGAGACCATTCCAAACAATTGTTGATTGCTCAGTACAGCTAGCACATACTGATTTCTGGATCTGATGAACATTTTGGCTAAAGAAAGGTATTGCTCAAGCACTCACTGAGGTCAGAATGATGTCCTCTAGAAAAATCAGACAAGAACACATATGACATTCCAGACACTGCCAAGTTAAAAACGACTAAAACTGACGATAATAATAAATGATAAAATGATAATAAAGCTATAAGAGAAATATTTTTTGCCAGTTGTATTTAATAATGGAACAGAATAAAGGCAATGATCAGTTTGCTTATATTGATTTTTGCTTGCATTTGAAAGTTTTTTGCATAGTTTTTCTCAGTGTAGTTTCAGAGCCCCAAACCAGAAGTGGCAATCCACCACCAGTGAACCATTGTATCACATGGGATTCATCTGATCGGTGTTGTATAGAAAATATTTCCCACCATCTTTGCTCCAGGGAAATGCTGTCCAAACTGCAATGGACCCCTGCGGCTCCTTTCCTGCCGAGGCCATGGTGGTTACCCAGTTACCAACTTCTGGAGGCATGAAGGCCAATTCATATTTTTTCAGGTTGGTATAAAATTACCTTACGTTATGCAAATTAAAGACTGCTTTTTAAGATTGATTAAGGACATTTTTTGTTCCAACAAATAAGGGTCATAGAATATGACAAGCTCAAATGACTGTAAGGAGAAAAATTTTCACAATGAGTGGGCAAGGTCCTAGGCAACCTGATCTAACGCTGAAGTTAGTCCTGCCTGAGCAGGAGGTTGAGCTAGACCCCCAAGGGTCCCTTCCAACCTAAATTAGCCTATGCTGCTATGGCTTTACAGCATATTATATTTTTCATTTAGGCTCCCATGAAAACCTGTTGATTTTGAAGCACTTTCCCTCAGGTACTTAAGAACCAACGAATCCTCAAAAAGTTAGAAATGCCATGTTATTTCAACCTCTTCTCCAAGGCACCATGCATAAGCATGAGGCTGTCTTAGAGCAGGAAATGGTTGTACCCAAGGGACTGTCTGTGGAAAATGCCATCTGTGCATTATATGTAACATATCTGGAAAATAGTGTATGCAAGCATTTAAATAATGGGCACTATTTCTGGAAGCTGTAGTCCTAGTTTAGTACCATAACCACTGAACTGTCTCCTGTTTTCCAGTCTTTCACTTATGTGCAGGTTAAATAAAATTAATTCTCTGTGGAAGGTAATGGAAATTAATGTTCTGATAAACATGTCTAAAGTGTGAGAAGAATGGAAATGACTGCAGGGACACTGTAGCCAGGCTGCAGAAGACCTTGTGGCTTCAACTGGGGCTCTAGTGTGGGGAGTCTTTTGTGCAGATAAACATAGTGCACTGGTTTTTGATTTCAGAAAATTTCAACCCTATCACACTTCATCTGAGATATGTTTGTTACTTGAGCTCACATTAAATAAGTCTTATTAAATACAAAGTATTAAATCAGGCCATATGTGTGGTTTTGGCCTGTGCTACAAATTCTGCTCCTTTAAGATTAATAACAAGGTTGTTTCTAACTTTAACATATCATAATTCCTTTCTAAAGTCCAAAGGAGCTCATGACCATCCACGTCCAGAAACAAAATCAGAAGCAGAAGCAAGAAGATCAATCCAAAAAGCACAGACAGCTTTTTCTCCATCTTCTCCAAGATTGAAAAGAATCCAGGAGATTGAGGTAACTCTTATTATCAATCAGTGGAATTGTGGGGTCAGTGATCCATGGTTCAAGGCACGGTGGAGGCTATCTGGGCAGGAGCAGGCTTTACATCTCCACATTCTGCCTCCCTGTGATCAGGCCAAGAAGGAGCAGGGCTGTCCTGAGCATCCTGCTTTGCTCAGCACTGTCATCCACTGCCAGCACCCCCAGTCTGGAGCCTCTTTGGGCCTGGTGGCAGCAGGGGATTACATCTATACTGGTAAACAAAGCAAGGCTGGAGGGCAGGCTGTCACATCACCATACACATGGTCCCTGCCATGATGGATTTGGCCAGTGCTAACTCGTGCTCACAAACAAAATGCCCTGGCACGGATCAGGAGGACAGCATGTGCCAGGGACCATTCCCTGGCAGGATTTTGGACAAGGGTGCATCAGGTTTGGATCCCTTCACTGTACACAGCTGGCTTTGAACCTACCTGTGCCCCTGAGCTGCCCCTGAGTGGGATTCGGCCACCTGCAGACCCTCGAGGGCTGTGAGGGCACCCTCAGGTGCAGGACGCACTGCCCCACCCTTGGAGAGACAGTGGAAGGTCATGTTTTCTCCACATGGACATGTGTCCCAAGGTCCTCCACTGACATGAAGAAGGTGCCGCAGAAAAGCTAAGGCACCCTCCACCTATGCTCGTCCCCACTGGGTTTTGCCAGGGTTGATAAGGGGAAGGTGCATCACCTCTGCGTGGTGTGCCCCGCTTGCTCCCTGGGTCTCCAGGAGGACTTTGAAGGCAGAAAAGTGCTTTGAAGGACTTACAGAAGCACTGACGTTAAAACATCAGCTCTGCTGGGTGTGGAAACACTTGTGAAAGCATCTACAGAGGTCCTGTGGATTGCCATGTGCCTGATGGAAGGAACCAGGTAGAGCAGTGAGGCTGTCTCCAGTGACCTTCCTTGCAAAGGCTGTGTTACACGCAACTGTACACCACCAGTCTTCACATGCAGTTTGTGTTTTGATGTGCTAGAGGTGGTGCATTGTCCGCAGCCTGGTGTTCAGGATAGTAATCAGTGCCCCTTCAGCTACAGACAAAAGGGATAATTGGGCTGGGTGGGGACAGACTTCTTAAATGGACACCATGGAGAAGCAGGGGGATCCAGGAGGCCAAGAAGTAGAGTAAAAGAGTGAACAGAGGAAGTTAAACCCATTCAAATGGAATATGAATTTAGGAGCTGCAGCTATTTCTACTGGAAATACTCAGGAGGACACTAAAAAACAGAGCTCAGGATTGACTCTCATGGAGACACACTGACTTGGGATGGGACAGTCAGAGAGTACAGGACAGACTGCTGGTGGCCTCTTGACACAAGCGCCTGGGAACACAAGCATAAGAAAAAGCAGCTGAGCCACTGTGTAAATCTCTAACAAATACAGAAACTACAATTTTTATATCACTGGTTTAATTCTGTCCCCATGAACACTAAAATGGTCCTCACCTAGGAAATGTTACTGAGCCACGTGGCTTTTTTTTTTGTACCTGAGCCTACTGGTCTTACTGAGGTCAAGGTCCGTCTAGACATGTCTTCGTCTTTCCCTTCCTACAACATCTTCCTGGTGTTTTCACTTTGAATTGTGTAGGAGTAGGAACAGACCAAAGATGTCATAAATATCTAATTGTAGAGCCTGCTCTTCAGCTGGTCTGACTCTGTGCAATGGGAGTGATACCATTTACCCTCAGCTGGCTTTCCAGTTCATGGCTCTCCGGCAGGTTTTTCTTGGGAATAACCCATCATATTTGTGTTCTGCCAAGACCGGCTGTGGTACAACTAACTCAGGAGTCTGATTTGACATGCAGAACCTGTGTTGCTGGATCTGCAAAAAGTCTTCTCAAAAGATTCAATTTTAATGTGCTCAATAAGACCAGGGAGGCGAACTTTAGAAAAATGTGTGAGTCCAAAATAGAGCAAGTGATACATAGGATGTTTTCTCCATGGTGTCAGTGGGTCTTTAGCTGAAGGTGGGCTGGGTCCTACATCAGGTTGTTGGAATTTCTTTTCATGGTGAGTGGAGAACAGCTGAAAGGAGCTTTGCTACTCTGGCAGTCAGCAAAATCACTATAATTAAATGGATGCAAAAGCAGAATTACAAAGAAGAGAGACCTGTAAGTACTCATCAGAAATGATAGCACAGAATAAGTGTTCTGAAAGGAATTAAAGTTTGCAAAATTATAATCCAAAAATTAGGTCAATTAAAGAAGTTGTGAAATATCCAGAACAAAAGACCCAGAAGAGTAATTCTTGTGTGCTGCTCCCTCCCTGAATGAAATTTCTGTTTGTGAGGTAAAAAAATGTAAAGATAGGAAAATTTATCAGTTAGAAATAGAAGTAGAGTCTTGAAAAGCTGAAGCATAATATTATTGTAGTGAAAAGATCACTTCACAATAATCAGTTTAAAAAAATAATACTTAGCTTTTCCAAACTCCATAGAAAAAAAATTAATTCTGTGGTGTCAAATGTATTAGCATAATTTCATTTTCAGGTGCTTCTTCAGTATATGCTGGCAGCGGACCCCGAGGGCTGTGAATGCAAGATCTAACAATTCTTTCAGTGTAAAACATGCTTTGAGCAAAAACTGGTGAAACAAACCCAGACCCGTGATCCAGGAGCCCTGTTTCGTTTGCCCCTAAAGCCCACTGGCACTACCCTACAAGGCTCTGCTACGGCATCTGCTTCGTTACTTGTATTAATTGAATGCATTTGTGAGGGTCTCATACAGGATGGTTTTTATTTCATGCTGCTAGACTACACCTTGTTTTACTAAACCATGCCTTGCTTTCCCAAGTCTCTGACAGGTGCAATGCCAACGTGGGAGGCTTTGCCTTTGCTTCTTTCCAAGCCGGACGCTTACATGCTACCTGCTAATTTCGGGGGACATTTAAGCAAAAGCTCCCGGGAACCGACGCTGGGCAGCTGCTCTGGGCGGCCGCCATACCCAAGGGCAGCTGGGGAGGACAGGGGCTCCGGAGAGGCGCCGACCTGGAGCAGGAGCCCGGCCCTCGGGAGGACCCACAGTGCTGGGAGGCCTTGCAGTGGCCCTGCTGTCCCCACGGCCAACCCGCCCTGCGCAGCCCCTTCCCCCCAGCACTGCGCCGACCCTGGTACCCAGCACACCCCGCCCGTGACAAAGGGTGGCCATGACCCCTTCAGGCCTAATGCTGGCCCTTTGGGGGATGAATCCTGTGAGGAGAAATCCCCGCTGGCCTACAGCGGCAGCTGCCTCCCTCCGCCGCCCTACCCTGTGCCTCAGGGAGGCCGCTGCCCCACAGCGAGCGGGGCACAACACCAGTGCCAGCTCTTGGTGCCTCTGAGGGGAAGCGAAGGAGACGGGGGCGAGGGAGGGCGACGTCTCAACTACTGCAACGATGACATGTTTTTTAACCTGTACCTGTTACGGTGACCAGGTTTTAATGTCCTCTCTCCCCCCTCCTCTGGCAATGGGCCTAATTTTCCATCCCTTTTGCAACATGGATGTGAAAGTGCTACCACACCAATTCCCTCTTTAGCTCCTCTTGCAGGCCTCAGGAGGGGCTTTCATACCTGAAGACTTGTCTTTGTTCTTTTTTTTTTTTAACTGTTATATTTTCCCCCCACTATTTTATTGATCTAATAAAAGGTATCAGCTCTTCTTACAGAATACCTCACTGCCATTCTGGTTTGGTAGCATTTCAATCCCTCTCTATACTCATTTTTTTCAAGCCTGTGGGACTGTGGAAGGTGCAGATGGATGACCTCAAGGACCACAACTGTCATGTGTGACCTTCTGCACTCTTCCAGCTTCTTCAGGCAGTGATCTAAGTCCCTCCACTGCACCAGCCCTGCGAAGGAATTGTATAGAATCATCACAGAACGGTGTTGCTTGGAGAGGCCCTTCAAAAATCATCTAGTCCAACCCCCCCGCCGTGGGCAGGGGCATCCTTCACTAGATCAGGTTGCTCAAAGCCCCATCCAACCTTACCTTGAACACTTCCAGGGATGAGGCATCCACAGCTTCTCTGGGCAACCTATTCCAGTGTCTCACCACCCTCATCATAAAAAATTTCTTCATTTAAGTCCAATTTAAACCTACTCTCTTTCAGTGTAAAACCATTGCCCCTTGTCCTATCACTACAGGCCTTGGTAAAAAGTCTTTCTCTGTCTTTCTTATAAGCCCCCTTCACATATTGAAAGGTTGCAATAAGGTATCCCCAAAACCTGCTCTTCTCCAGGCTGAACAACCCCAACTCTCAGCCTTTCTTCACAGGAGAGGTGTTCCAGCCCCCTGATCATCTTCATGGCCCTCCTCTGGACCCACTCTAGCAGGTCCATGCCTTTCTTCTGCTGGGAACCCCAGAGCTGGACGCAGTACTCCAGGTGGGGTCTCGCCAGAGCAGAGTAGAGGGGGAGAATCACCTCCCTCGACCTGCTGGCCACGCTTCTTTGGATGCAGCCCAGGATTCAATGGACTTTCTGGGCTGCAAGTGCACACTGCCAGCTGACGTCCAATTTTTCATCCATCAGTATCCCTAAGTCCTTCTCTGCAGGGCTGAACCCAGTTTCATATATGTATATATTCAAGGTGCCTTGCTGCTTTTTCCAGCCACTTTTAATTTCTTTCATTGCAGACTGTAATGAATCCTTCAGCATCCTTTCCATACATCACCCCCTTCTCTGACCACTACTGCAAGCTATATTTCAGCAGGAGCTATCAGTTCCCTACATTTGTTTGAAAAAAGTAGGGTGCCAAATATGATTTTTCTTGCATGAATTTAGTGGCCAGCTCAGAGACCTTTGGCAAAGATTCCTTTATCTTTTCCCGTAATTCACATCTGCAAGACTTTCCTGCACGACTAGACTCTACTGCTCTCTGGACTGGGTTTCAGGGGCCACTGGCCCTCACCCCGCAGAGGAAGGCACTGACACATGTCCCCACTGCCACCTCTGCAAGGAAGGGCTGAGGGAGCTGGCTGGAGCCACATTTCATGGCTGTTTCCTTTACCCACCATGAAGGTAGAGAGCCTTGGCTCCACGGGCTGCCCTGCCCTGCCTGCGGAGCAAGCTGTGCCCCAGTGGTCCGAGGCAAAATAAACCTTTTATTGGGATGAGTCTGGGAGGACAGTATTATGAAACAAGTGGCAATAAAAACTTCACAGTACCTCAGACTGTGGTGTGTCTTGTGTCCATCAAACAAGTTCAGTCTTATCATTCATCTTTTTTTTTTTTTTTGCTTGTTTTCATCTTTTTAGATTCCCTTTTTTTTTAAAAAGACTTTGGAATATATTAGTTACTAGGAAAACCACTCTCATTGCGAAGGGTGGAGTTCAGAGACATTTACAAGACAAGAACAAATTATATTTATAGAGTGTTTCAAAATGTTTATTGCAATTTGTGAAATAGGGGATGTGCAGTGATTTGTTTTATGTGGAAAAAATCTAAATGTAGATCACAAAATGACAGTCCGCTGTTGTATGTGAAGGTCAGTTCACCAAACTTTTATTTAGTCTGTGAGTTACTCCCACGCTAATACCAAACCTTGTGTGTTTTATGATGAGTCTTCGGATCAGTAACTCGGAGAAGGCAATTTTGATGACGGGTAATAACAACCTCCACATCTAAGACAGAAAAAGGGGAATCAATAGGAGCCGTAAGCACTTGTGCTTCAGGAGGTGAGCTGCAGGATGAGGGACAGACAGGTCCCCCAGGGCTGTGTGTCCCATAGCTGAGATTCCTCTGCGACTGCCAAACCGGTCGCACCAGCGAGGGACCGCGCAGGGCATGGACCCTGCCCGCTGCCATTCTGCTCTGTCTCATCTCGCCTCTCCTCTGAATTCCTTACCTCTCTGCTGCACCACTGCCAGCATCGCCTTTCAGCAATGGTACCATACAGATATGTGGCTGGGAGGCTCCTCAGATGTTGATCCCGCACCGAAGTACCATCAGTTCCCTTTACACTCACCAACCCCTTCCTCCATTTTTAAAAACTTTCAGCAAAGGGGATTTGATAACTGATCCCATAACCTGTTCCACGGCTTCATCGTCCCAATCCCAACTGAGCATTTTTTTCCTCATATCTGATTTTCTTTCCTGGAGATCAACCATTTCTTCAAGTCTTCTGAAGATGGGTAGCATCTAGTTACTGAGTTTCACAGGCTTCCTAAAGGACTATTACTACCAAACCTCCCTAAAAGACAATTACTACCAAACCTGTCTTCCTGCCTGAGAAGCAGGAAGCTTTTTGTTGGTTTGCCTTTAAGTCTGAACCAAAAGGTTTCCAAAATGAAACCTATTCCTGCGAGTGTAGCTCCACTCAGCAGCTACCTGCCATAGCAGGGCCGTGCCTTCTCGCAGCTCCCATGCTTATAATCCTGTGCACCCAGGACTGTCCCGCAGTTTGGGGGGACCCCCAGCCCCCATTCACCGCACCCAGTATGTTTCCGAGAGGAACACATTTCAGGATCGAGGAGGACAGGTTATTCCTTTTTAAAAAGGAGGAAACTGAGACTTCATGATTTTTCTAAGGTTAAACGCAGAAAGGCGTTCCAGACTTACAAGCTGCCAGGGGCAGTTTGACCTTTCCGTGTTCTTGCAGTGACTTCTGTGCTGGCAGCAGCTCCCTCCACTTTTGGTACAATCAGCACAGTGGGTCAATATAGTGCCAAATTTATATCCGTTTGGCTCAAAATATGAAGATACCAATCCCAGCTCCAACCTTCGCAACAATGACTTTTTGCAACATATTTGGGATATGTGAAAAGAAATGTATGTATGTCGCTGCTTTAAGCCTCTCTTAACCAGCTTTAAGGTATTGTGCCCAATTGGGCAGTGATAAGAATCAGAGGTGAAAGATGGCACTAGATGCATCATCCTCTGCAATTTTAAGAAAATATACTGAACACTGAGGTTATTCAGGGTAGCTTCATAAAGAAACACCAATTGGTATGTGAGGATCCACCCATAGGTAACTCTGTAACCTTATTCTCTGCTGCAGAAAATGGTTTTCTGCAAGGCACAGCTGCAGTAAAATATTGGGAAGGCAGCAGAGATGCAAGGAGGTCAGGATGTGGATGATTACACAGGCAAAATGTTTTGTTCTGGCTTATCGGTGTTTCAGATGGCTGTAGCTACTGCCAAAGCTTATGCAAATATCCCTACAAGGCATGGATGGTCTACACTCGCTGCTTTCCCAAGATCTTAGCTCTGAAAGCACCGGCCTCAATATTTAAGGCGTAATTCTTTGGGAGTAATCCCTGTGCTTGCTCTGAAGCAAATATTTTTATTTATAAGGCCATCAGAGAACCACAGCAATGTTGCTCAGAATGATACATTAGCCAGACTGTATCTTACAGAAACACAGCTTTTATGGGTTTTTTTTACTTATGCAGCATTTAAAGATGAAATCTAGACATATAATCAGAAGGAGCTATCTTAATAATACAAGGCAGCAGCTGGACACCTCAATTTTTTTAGTGTATTTATCCTCAGATTGTCATTGTGAGAAAGGGAAATGCTTCTGTATCAGTCATACCAATGGGGAGATGAGAAGGCAGAACAGGGATTTGACCCACATCTCTCCAGCGGTGGGCACATACCCTGTGTTTCTTCTGGCCTTCCTCTCCCCGGGGCCTCTACCTTTGCATATGAAAAGAATTGCAGGTCAGACTGAGCACAGCCAGATGTTTTCATTTTCAACCCCTTGCACAAAGCCCCTGCCCATTGGCAGACTGAGGCTATAAACTGTTTTATATGAACTGCAAAGTTATGGACCATTTTCTAAAATATGGTCCTAAATGCATTCTCTGTATTTTTAAATGAAACAAGTGTGTCAAACTGCTGGTGGTGGAAAGGACTCCAACTGAGGAAGCTTTAGGGGATACACTCCGAGTAATCATATAAAGCTTTTCTTTCCACGTGGCCTTTGGGAGATTTACTAATCCATGTGTCAGGTACTCCTGGAAATTTTGCTCCGCTTCCCCTCAGTGTAGTCATTTGGGCTTTTTAAGTAATTATGGTCAAGGAGTTAGAATGGGACCATCTAATCTGTTTTACTTCATTGCAAGCAAAATGTAGAAGTGGTCCCTGTGGTGGATCTCAGCAGGGATATGGCCTGTCTGTGCCAGGAACAGGCTTTACATGGCAGGGTAGCGACTGGCGTGGGGACCCAGGGGAGGCAGAGGAGGATGGGAAGGTGGCGCAGTTATTTAAGAAGAAAAAATGAAGGAAGTCTGCTGGTGTCAGAGTAAAAATAGATGCAATCAGTAATCAAAGCAGAGCGTGAATAAGATATTAACATTGCACATCTGAACACCCTAAGCAGTTTGGACCTAGCTCTTGTGCAAGCTATGCAAACTGGTCCTGATTCAATACAGTGCCCCTTCTTGCTGAGGTGCTGCAGTCCCCAGGCACTATGGGGTTTCTGTCTGT